CATGGCCAAACATTCCTCGTAGTTGTGGAAGCCTACTCGAAATGGCTAGACGTAGTCCTGATAACTTCCACTATGGCAGAAGCAGTCATCAAGGTACTACAGAGACTTTTCTCCACACATGGCCTGCCCGATTTCCTGGTCTCTGACAACGGGCCCCAATTCATGGCCATGCAATTCGAGACCTTCTTAGCAGCACAGGGAATCAGATATGCCCTGGTCACGCCATTCCATCCGGCCTCCAATGGTCAGGCGGAGAGAATGGTGAGATCTGCAAAAGAGGCCCTCTCCAGATGGGCCCGGGAGATTGGCAAACACAGATTGACCACTATTCGCTAATTCAACACATCACGCCAAGTGCCACTACAGGGAGAAGCCCCTCCAAGCTTCTCATGGGTCATCGGCTAAGGTCCCACTTAGACCGGCTACACCCAAACTATTCTGCCGCATCGCCCCCTGACTCTACAAGCAAAATTTGGAACTTTAGTGTAGGGGATTCAGTTTACATCCACAATTACGCCGGGGGACTCTGTGGATTCCTGCCACAGTGATAGGCATCACCAGGCCTCGCTCTTATCTTGTAGCGCTCGAGGATGGTCGGAATTGGAGAAAGCACGTTGACCAACTCCATAGCTGCCTCTCCAACTCCACTCCTAGGCAGCCAGAGGTAACTCCTGCTTAAGTTATCGAAAGCCCTACCCAAAAGGAGCACGATGTCACTCCTTCCATAGCCAACTCAAACCCGAAGTCATTGGGATACTTAGCTTCTTGTGTTGCAAGCCCAGAGTGAGCTTCAAGTGAACCGGCTCTAGAAGCTCCAGCCGTGGCCTGTGAAAGGTTCCAGGAGCTTCCACCAAGCAGAGCTGCAGAGCAAACAGGTCCATCCAACCTGTCTGAAGAACACCCTCCAACTGAACTGCGCAGGTCAGGCAGAGCTACCAAAAAGCCCGCCTACCTGTGTGACTATATAACCAGTAGGATTACTCCATCTAAGAGGGGAGGGGTGTTAGATACTAGCTTCAGTTATAGTGGTTTCCACTTTCTCATTGGTCGAAGGGTCTGACAGCTCCCTATAAAAGGACTGCTGTCAGACTCAACCTTTGCTGGATTGTACATACTTGTTCTGTTACAATAAAGAGCTGTTGTTGCCTTTTGCCGGAGTGTGCTTTTCCATTACCCGATCTAACACATACAATTATCTCTCTGTAGGATGTTGAAGAACAGTACGATTACCATATTTTGCTGTATTTTGATATATACTTATTGTTGAAGCTGTATTCAGTTCTACCATGATTTTAGATTGCAGAAAAATGGGAGAGCATTCATTAAGGACAGTGTAGCACACCGGGCAACTTAACAGCATCTATATAGTACTAAAACTCTTGTTTGTCTGTGTGTAACCTTTAACTGGTTGAAATGGTGCAGCACAGAGCAATCATTTTTCAACCAATGTATCTCAAATGGGCTAATTTCAGAATACACTCAGAATCGAAAAATTCCCATAAAATTCACACTTGGCAAATTTTATAAACAGTTTTACGATATAAAAATGATTGCAAACATTTTATGACATAATAATTCAAAGTGTCATAGAACATTTTTTGTGGTCAACTCCTGGTGTTTGACTGTGTTGTACAGTTCAACACAGGTTATATTCAAGGCAGCTACATCTCTGAATATCTCCCTAAATTTTTAACAAGTTTTCCAGTGAAACAATATATTGATTTTTAAGAGCTTTTCCAGGAAAGCAGTACAATGAAGCACTGCCATTGTTGAAGGCATTGAGGAACCTGGTAAGGAAATAACTGTGAAATGATGATCCAATGTCACAGGTTGTCTAATTGTAGCTATGAATTCTAGCTACTAGATGCCTCTCATCATGGAGCTTGAGCAAGGAGAAAGTGATGTCCTTGCATTATTAGTATCAGATTTCACTTGGTGATGTGTGTCCTCCCACGCACACACACACACACTCTTGGGATTAGGGAAGAAATTCATTTAGTCCACATTTGAATGCACATTTATTTACTTTCAGATTTTTAGCCAACACATCAAATGAAACAGTAAGCAGCTGAGATTTGTAGTTTAAATTTTATAATGAACCTCATCAGTAACAACAGAATATAAATCCTAGGCAGAAATCTGGACTAAAAGGCCTACATACATAAAAAATATGTTTAAAAAATCAGTATGGAAACTCATTTACAAAAACTGGACATACACAAAATGATAAAGAAAACGTACAGTTCTGAGAAATGTGCACAATATTTAAACATTTTAATTGAAACTTTTAGAGTAATTATTATATTCAACTAACCAAATGCAACACGTTTGAAGAAGTGGAAACAAACCAAATTACCCTTATCCCAAATATAATGCATTTCTAATGATGCGGCATTAAGAAGAACTAAGCCTGTCAGATTTGCCCATTCCTACTCTGAGCTTTGTAGTAGAAAGGTTCTGGCTTCTCTTGGTTGACTCCGTGTAAGGTTGCACTCACAGCGTGTCCATTTTCAATAATTATGTGCTCTCTTTCAACATTAAACCATTTACCTGGTGACTTCCTACTGAAGCTCTGACTTACCTAGTGGTTTACCACTGAATTTGCGAAGGGGACCCCAAGTTGTTTTGGGTGTATCAATAATTTCACCTGTTTTCCAAAAACGGAAACCCTGGCAATTCTGCAAGAATGAAACACACTTATGAAATCACTATTTTGAGAATAAATGTGTTCTACGTTATGACTAATAAGTAATAAACCTCTTAGAGATCCTTTAAAAACACTATTGCCATATAATCACATATATAAGTCAAGTTATCAAGTTATAACTTTGAAGGCACTCTTAGATAGAATTTGGGGGGGGGGGTGTCTAGTGTAATAGGATATAGTAACTTCAAGTCTGAGGTTACTTACATCTCTGAGACCTCCTATGCTACCTAACATTAAAGGGAATAATATTCATGATTCTTTTCTACTTATAAATCTCTTTGCAATCACAGACTTAGGATGCAACCAAAAATGCTAAATTCTCTATAGCTGCTATATATTCCCATAGAAGTCAGCAAGTTCTAAAAACCACAGCCCTCTATCTGCTTCAATGACAGCGTTCAAAGTATTTATAGCACTTTTAGCATTTTAAGCATTTATACATAAGATTTGTTGCTTAACAGAATTTCTGTGTTGCTGAGCAGAATTTCTGTCAGAGATCGAAGCTTATTTACATTAGAATCTTATGATGATCTCATTGTAAAATCATTTAAGATTCTTATGTAGATAAACACCAAAATGGAAATAACAGCAAACAGCATAGGTAAAGGTAAAGGTTCCCCTTGCACATATGTGCTAGTTGTTCCCAAGTATAGGGGGCGGTGCTCATCTCCGTTTCAAAGCTGAACAGCCAGATGTCTCTGTGGTAATGTGGCTGGCATGACTAAATGCCAAAGGCACATGGAACACTATTACCTTCCCACCAAAGGTGGGTCCTATTTTTCTACTTCCATTTTTATATGCTTTCGAACTGCTAGGTTGGCAGAAGCTGGGAGCTCACTTTGTTACAAGGCACTAGGGATTCAAACCGCCGAACTGCCAACCTTTCTGATTGGCAAGCTCAGTGTCTTAGCCACTGAGCCTACATAGCACTTAATATTCTTTTTGTTAACTATTGCATTTCCAGTTTTTGTTGAAGAAAATTATGGATTAAGTTTATCTCTGACCTCTGTACTATTTTGTTTTGGTTTATAAAGTACCATATTCTGGGAAGAGACAAAACAATCGTTCTGTTTCTTTTAAAATCATTTTGTTTTCCAACTGAGCAAGACTCCTTACCGTTCTACAAGTGCTTTTAGGAAGTTCAACACAAATTTGGATTTTGCAATGTAAGTAAACCACTGAACCATTGACAAATGAAAATATTTTCAGTTTAAATCGGGCTCGGTTGGCTATCCCATTTGCAATCACGTTGGTGTTTGTATTTGGAACTGGACAACTGAAAAAGAAAGCTCAATTAAACATTTAAAGAAGCATAGAATTTGATCTATATGGATTTACAGTTCTATTTATAATCAGACAAAAATGTGGTTATTTTCCAAAAAGAGAGTATCAAAGTAATGCTGTTCCATTGCAGCTATTAAATGGCTGATAGTTCTAGTAAAGATAGAAACATATTTCACTAGTTATAAATTTCTTCTGTTTTATAGAGATCTGATGACATCTAAGAGGGATATGCATCAACAAGTGACTTATATAAATTCAAATAAATAAATAAATAAAAAATAGCATCATATTGTTCTTTGAGCATACTTCATAATATATACAATTGCCCACTGGAGACCGAAGCCATTATTCTTCCTCTCCTTCTTACTGCAGAAGTAACCAAGAAGCAGCTCCCCAAGTTGAGATACTTCAACTCAGACATTCAGCCATTGTCCACCTGTCATCTGTTTCCTGACAGGTACTCTCCTCCATCAACACATATACAAAATTCCCTTGCTTCTACCTTCGCCAACTTCTCAAACAGTGAAGTTTGTAAAAGCAAACCTCGCCACTGGTATAACATATACCTGCATTTAATTCACTGAAAGTCTGCAGACATGTATATTAGAAAGAGGAATGGTTTTTCTCACCTATTTTCGTTTCATTCCTACCCTAGCCTACTTCTTCATTTCTTCTATTTGATTGCTAAAATTATCTATGTGGAATGATGGAACAGCTCAAGCACTAAAACTAGAAACCAAAAATTCAGAATGCATTTATTCTGAAATGTTTCCCCATTTTATAAATATTATCTAAATAATTTTCATAACCAAGTATATGAATATAATTAAAACAAATATACCTAGCAGCTAAGAGGCTGAAGCCAAGAAATAATAGCTTGGATTAACTAATAAATTGAAATGTCACCATTACAAAAAAGAGTAGATTTACATTGCCGGTGTTTCAACTTTAAGATTATAAAAGCTGATACCACTCTATAAATTTTTTGTCTTTATTATTCACAAGGTTTGTAATAACATCTTAATACATTGTGTATACTATACCCGCCATGTATAAAATGAAATGAGCGAGGATCCATTGAGTTATTGGTTGGGGTTGCCCAACATTGGCTAACAACCACTTTGAGTTTCTTGCTTCTTGTTTGAACTCCCACCTCAATTACTATATTATCACTGCCAGAGATGCTGAAATTTTGTGGAATTGGAGAATTGCCAATAAGCAATCGCATTTCTGTTAAGAAATGTCCAGATCCATGTAAATCTTCAAAAATGGTATAAATTCTGAAAGACAATGAGCCATTGTTAACATTGGTAGACTAGTTTTATAAACTATGTCCTGTGTCTGCACAGAAACATTATTATTTTTACAAAAGAATAAAGTGCCCCCTTGTTCAGTTTTCAGCCAAGGAAATAAAAAAGATACCACTTTTTACTTGTGCAATGTCTAAAAAAAATTAAAGACAGTTGCATAAATATTAACAGAATGTGAATAATTAAAATCAAAGATTATTAGAATTTGATTACTATATCGGTGTCAACAAATTAAAAGCTTTTGGTTTTTAAAAAATCTATTTCACATACTTTATTAGGACTGTCTTACTATTTTTACTCCTTTCTATAGGGAAATTTCTTAGAAGGATGTAATTTGACTACAAATCTTCATAAACCTGAAATATTTCATGTAAGTAAAGTTTACTCTGTCTTGCAAATAGCAATAGCAATAGGCTTATATACAGTTTCATAGTGCTTTACGGTCTTCTCTAAGTGATTTACAGAGTTAGCATATTCCTCCCAACAATCTGAGTCCTCATTTTACCAACCTTGGAAGGATGGAAGGCTGAGTCAACCTTGAGCCTGGTGAGACTCAATCGACTGGACTGCTGGCAGTCATCAGTCAACAGAATTAGCCTGCAGTACTGCATTCTAACTACTGTGCCACCATGGCTCTTTTGGTAATTGGAAATATAACCCTAAGCCTGTAATTTCTCCCTATTGCTACTTCCAGATATTAAATAAGTTGTTCATGAAAAGATAAAAATCGCAGTTGAGTTACCTATATTTTAATACAATGTCTAAAATGAAGATCAGCTCTGAATATCCCACTCTCTTTTGCAGAAATTATCCTTTAAATTCTGTATTTTGGACCTTTACAACAATTATTTGATGTCTAAAATAATGTAATTGGTTCTTATTTCCTAAAAAGTTACTTACCCTTCTGAAGTATATCCAGATGAAGTTAAGAGATTGTTCTGAAAGATACAATGAATTTGACTTGAAATCTTTAAGTGGTAGATAATCCCATGGGAAGAATAATCATTGCGAAGAACAGTTCTTGCAATGGTGTGTGTGGTATTCTGTAAAAGAAGTGCAACAGAGAAAGATATATTGAATTTGTAATTATTATTATTTTTAGTTTAAAAGATAGCAAACAGGATTGTGAAAAAATAGATACGTGTAGGCTGGGCTATAAAGTAAGCAAAACAGTAAAATGAAGAACCATTCAGGACCTGCTGATTATACAAGGATTGTATTCTATTCATTTAGTTAAACTATTCATAATTAGTTGATTTCAGATGAGGAATCTAATATGTAGAAGATCCTTGGGAAAAATAAGAATTACATTACAGTAACAGAAAAGAATGAGAAATACATTTCAGAAACAATTTGTTTAAACTGTGAATCAAAGCCCAAATCCTGTCCTGCTATGTGGTCTTTATGGATAACATATGAATAATTTTTTGTTATTATCATCTTTTTTCTAAGAATTTAGAAATTAAAAAATAAGATTTTTTTCTTATTAAGAAAGTGGAATGACATGTAATACTATTCATCATTAATAATTCTAAAAACCTTATATTAATTATTTCAAATTATTTATTCTTAATGTTTAATTAGAATTTATTTAATTTATTGTAGAGTAAGAGACTTACAGTTTGTATTTCAGTTTCGCACTCGTTCCAGCCTGTCTGAAGTACCACATGACTAGAATTACTGGAGGTTACATTGCAGCGAGGATTCCCTAGGTACAAGGAAGTTTCTGGGATAGATTGCTGGTGCAGAAAGTTCTTCTTAATGGAGACGACAATTTTTTCAAACTCACACAGTACTTGAACTGCCTCCTTAATTGAACCAGCAGCAGAACTCTTAATCAAGGGCGAATTCTGAGGTAAATCACTAATGTTTGTTCTTTGATTTATATTTTGCTTATTAATTGTAGTGTTGGCAGTTGCATTTTCCAAGCTTCTGCCACTACTAATAGAAAAATTATCTTTGGCAGATGAAGGCATGGGGTCTGAAGTAGATGGATAGGTCAAGGGTAAAGTTGTGCTGCTCCATTCCTTTGACCGTTCATCTCCAGAACTAAGGCTGGAAGAAAGTACTATAAAGTAGAGAAAAGTTATTGAAAATTGCATTGTATAATTCATTTTTCCCCATAAAGAATTACAGTAAATATAACTTTGAGATCTATCCTTCAAGAAGCCTTCCCGTTTGGAAATATGCAGAGTGCATATTCAAGCCAAATGTTGCTCAGCCTGAGCTAGCTGAACACAGAGAATGCCAGCCAATGGATACTCACTGTCTCAGCTTCAAACTTGCCCATTCTGTAAATTGACAAAAAAAAACCTATCTTCTTTCTTAAAATAATTGTCTTATCCCAATCCACCAATGTAGTCAAAGTTCATGTATTTAGAAACACGTGTGTTTACAGCTGTATGTTGGCTTATCCCTTCTGATAAGCTATTTTTCAAAGTTATGGGAGCTTTACTGACAACTGTGAAAGAATCTTCATCTCTCAATGATGTCAGATCAACCTTGCAAGTGAAATGTGTTTTTCTAGCAAATTTTGATAATGTTACATAACTGTTAACTTTCATACTGTGTTTATGAGAGGTCATTCCCAAGGCGGACTGAATAAACTTTGAAGTGAGACAGATAAAAGCTCCTATCCAATGAGAAAAAGAAATCACTTGAAAGAGCAATAGCGCTTAGATTTATAAGCCGCTTCAAAGTGCTTTACAGCCCTCTCTAAGTGGTTGGATGGAACCTTGAGCAGGTGGGAATGAAACTGCTCAACTGATTGTATTGCAGGCAGTCAGCGGAACTAGCCTGCAATACTGCATTCTAACCACTGTACCACTACAGCTCTTATGCCCGATCAATTCACTGGGATATTTTTTTATATGTTTCTAAAGTATTACTTTAATTACTTGAAAGGGATGAACAGCTAGAGATTTTTTTTTATAGAAATCTATTCAAGCTTCATTCGAGGAGGATACTTAATCAGAATTTTATATTATAGCAGTAAGATGTCTAATATATTTTTTCATTTACCACTTAATTACTTCAGTAGCATTGTTATAATGTTAGAAACTCTGCAGATCATTCTTGAAAAGGACTACTGACTCTATTAATTCATATAATTACAAGTACCTTAGGCTTATGTTTGCTTACAGCTTTCTTTGATAAAGGAATGAGTTGAACCTCTTCCAGGTCAGGAATAAATACAAGCATCCAATATAACCTCTCCTTTTTTTAGATTGTTTCTTTTTGTGTGAAAAGAATCAGGACACAGGCATAGTGTTGCTAGCAGGTCAGCCCATCAAAACTCAAACAAAGCCTAACCTCCCCCTTCCTCCTCTTCTTCCTTCTCAAGAGAAACTGGGAGCCTGTTTCACTGAAGGGAAGATTGGCTAGAACAGTGGTCGGCAAACCCATTAGTCAACAGAGCCCAATATTAACAGTGCAACGATTGAAATTTCTTTTGAGAGCCAATTTTTTAAAACTTAAACTATATAGGTAGGTACATTGTTATTAACTTAATTAGGGTACTCCTTAACTGGCCTTTGCTAAAAAACGTCCTCAATCGTACGTTCGCTGAGGTCGATCCCTTCCAACTCTCCCAAAGCATATAAATTTAATAAAATACAAAAATACAAATACAAATACAAAGCTCCCACTCTCGTCTTGTATACTTGTTTCATCTATCTCCTTTCATTCATCCAAGAGCCAAGCCAAGAGCCAAGGTGGTGCAGTGGTTAAATGCAGCACTGCAGGCTACTGCTAGATCAGCAGTTCAGCGGTTCAAATCTCACCGGCTCAGGGTTGACTCAGCCTTCCATCCTTCCGAGGTGGGTAAAATGAGGACCCAGATTGTTGGGGGCAATATGCTGACTCTCTGTAAACCGCTTAGAGAGGGCTGAAAGCCCTATGAAGCGGTATATAAGTCTACTGCTATTGCTATTGCTATCCGTGGCATGACAAAACTGCAGTCCACTAAAGTGCGCCCGATTAAAGCGCGTCGCTGATGTCATCAGCAGCGCGACAACAGCGACCACGGAGAAAAAAGGGCGCTTTAAAAAGCGCTTTGAAAGCAAGCCAATTCACGTTAAGGTAAGGGTTAGGTTTAGGGTTAGGGTTAGGTTAAGGGTTAGGTTTAGGGTTAGGGTTAGGTTTAGGGTTAGGTTAAGCGTTAGGGTTAGGTTTAGGGTTAGGTTAAGGGTTAGCGTTAGGTTTAGCGTTAGGTTAAGGGTTAGGTTTACGGTTAGGTTAAGGTTTAGGTTTAGGGTTAGGTTTAGGGTTAGGTTTCGGGAGGTTAGGTTTAGGTTTAGGGGTTAATTTTAGCTTTAGCGCTCACAGCGTGCTTTTTTTGTCGCGCTGTGATGACGTCAGGTACGCGGTTTCGTCGAGCGCGCTTTAGTCGACCACGGTTTTGTGGTGGAACCCATTCATCCTCTCTATATGTCCAAACCATCTCAACGTACCTTTCTCAATCCTCGACACTACATCTTGTTTCACTCCACAATGTTCCCTAAAATTAACTTAATAAACTTTACTTAAAGTTTTAAGTCTTAGTTGAACTATAGGTACGTTGATTAAACTTGATATCATACTTAATAATGATATTATTTATTGATAAAATTAAATTCCTTACAATTTACCTTACACTATCCATAAAATTAAATCATGATAATGACTGACAAACACGAATGTGAACAATGGCCTTGCATCTCCTTGGAAAGTTTGGGTAAGTCAGGTTTGTGTGTGACTGTCTCTCACTTGCTCGGTCTCTGTGTCTCTCTCTGTCTGTCTGTCTCTGTCTCTCTATCCTCCCATCCTCTCTCTCTCTCTGTCACTGTTTGTGTGTGTGTGTGTGTGTGTCACTCACTCACTTAATCACTCACTCTGTGTGTGTGTCTCTGTCTCTGTCTGTCTGTTTCTTTCTCTCACTCATACACACTCATACACACACATACTGTAGTCACCTTGTTGAGTGTTCCAATCACATTTGAAACACTCAACAACTGGCCTGCATTTATGGTTTTTTTGCAGCATTCTGCAGTCATAGGACCAAAATATATGGTTAAAAGTACCTGACAGCGACGTTTTTCCCTGTTGGGCTCTGCAGAACATTCCAAGACAGATGCCACCACATCTGCCCTCTTCGAGAACAGGTCCTCTGCAGAAGAACGAGGCCCAGCTGGTTGCCCTCCTGTTCCTCGTCTTCTGGCCGCAGCTCCATGCTCCCAATTGGCCCTTCCTCCCTCGGAGGGGTTCGGAGGGAAGCTTCTGCAGAAGCCCGAGCAAGTGAGAACAAGTTCCCACCGTTACGAAGTGTCAGAGACTGTAATTGTACAGGCTGTGAGCGTGGGCATATGTTTTCCACTGCATGGAGCAGCAGTGAGGCTATGCATGACCGGCGATGACTCCGGAGACAATCTGTGGGGGGCGGGGTCCCCCACACATTCCTTGTCTTCCTGGATGACCTCTGGAGTCATCACTAGCCGGGCAGAGCCTCGCCACTGCTCCACGCTGTGGAAAACATAGGCGTGTGCGCACAGCCCGTACAATTATAGTCTATGAGACTTTGTAACGGCGGGAACCTGTTCTCACTCACCCAGGCTTCTGCAGAAGCTTCCCCTGAAGCTCTCTGAGGGAGGAAGGTCTAGTTGGGAGAGGGGCTTTGGTCCTGCTCCAGGCTGTAAGGTTGTGCACACGCCTATGTTTTCCACAGAGTGGGGCCGCGGCTGGAAGACAAGGAATGTGAGGTGGCGCAGCGGTGGAAGAGCCACACTTAAGAGACCAAAGAGCCACATGTGGCTCGCAAGTCGCAGTTTTCCGACCACTGGGCTAGAAGATGGACTTACCATCCATCTGCAGCCCCCTCAACACCATTCAGTTCCTGTGTCAATTTTATCAGAGTACCAATGTAAAAGAATTTTTAGCTTCACCACCATCTCAAAAAGTTTCCTTTATCAGTCAGCTACAACCCCCTTTTATTTTCCTGACAAGGAGGATGACACTAAAGAACAGCACATCAGTCGCTAAGACAGCCTTCCCCTGTCTTAGTCTGATGTGTGGATTGCAAATTCTAGGATTCTTAGTAATGGCCCTTGTGGGTGGCATCCAATGTCTCCCAATGCCATCCACAACTTTTCTTCCCAAGAAGAGCCATGTCAGGTTTAAAGGCAACCTTAGTGATCAGTAGTGGAGGTATCTGAAAGTCAGTACTTCATTAGAAAAGATTTGTGGCTACCTCAATATTGACAGCCAAATCAAGTTGAAGAAACTACAGGTGTTCGAATGGCCTTTGGAAGTGACAGGTTCAAGTAACTGGATCTTGCCCACTGCATGAACAAGAACTTCTGAGAGTGAATGTAATCCTTTGCATGGGGACCACAACAATAACATGGCAATAAGAATAGCAGAGTTGGAAGAAAATGAAAATAAACATTGAAACCTTGCCTTCACAGTTTCTCCCAGGTCTCTCAGCATTTACACTGACAAATCCTTCTTTGCATTTGCATTCATAAGACCCATAAATATTGTAGCAGGACGCATTAGGAGAACAATCTGTTTCCTCTCTCTCACATTCATTGTTATCTGTTTTTAAATATATAATAAAAGAGAGAAGTAATACATGAGTTTGTGACTATTATTTAGCATACTTTGCTATTTCTATACTTAAAATGTCAGTACTTTTGTTCTTTCAAATGAACATCATTCTAATACCATACTACTTACTACGATTCATGAGTAACTCATAAATCAAACAAACTTCATAAGAAGTAAATACTGTATGCAAATATAATGAGTGAAGTAAACATAATTAGAATATCATTTTGGAATTCTGCTGCCCTTGGAGAATATTGGTCTGAGTTTTGGCCGCTTATAAAATTAATCTATGAAATTAAAAGAAACTATTATTTACCATATATGGAAAGACTGCTATTATCAACCTTGAAAAGGCTGCTGTTTCGAAAAGCTTCAAGAAGAGACTCAGAAACATTCCTTGCATCCATGTCTGTTGGAATCAAGAGGCTGAAATTGACCACAATGCTTCCTGGGATAATGCTTACTATTGAAATGTTAATCATACCAGCATCCATTTTTTGAAGAATATTAGGAGGCAAAGATGTTCGGACCTGTTACCAAAACAGAGTCATGAATTTGTGTATGTATTTGTTCTGAGAATTATTTTAATTGCATGATTTGAAGGATGACACACAGATTTTTGAAAATTATTTGTTTGTTTGTTTGTTATTTCCCACTTTTATATTTATGCAACAACTCAAAGTGGCAAATATATCCACACACCTACCTTCTCCTATTTTCCCCACAATGGCCTTGTGAGGTGAGTTGGGCTAAGAGAGTGCCTAGCCAAGAATCAACCAGCTGGCTTTCTTGTCTAAGGCAGAACTAGAATTCAGTTTCCTACTTTCTAGTCTGATGCCTTAAAACACTTGACCAAACTGACTTACTTAATGATTGAATAAAATCACATAGAACATTCAGAAGATGCGATGAAGTTGCATCCAACAAGATTTCTCAATAACCAACCAATGTCGTTGAACTACCTTTCTAATTATTTAACTGAGGATAGCCTTGGGTATTCTTAAAAACAAAATAAAGAAGTTAGCATATAGAGATGGTAGACTACAGGTAGTCCTTGACTTATGATCACAGTTACTGTTTAGCCCAAAATTTCTGTTGCTAAGCAAGACATTTGCTAAGTGAGTTTTGCCCCACTTTACAACCTTTCTTGCCACCGTTGTTAAGTGAATCACTACAGTTGTTAAATTAGTAACATGGTTGTTAAGTGACTGTAGCTTCCCCATTGACTTTGCTAGTCAGAAGGTCACAAAAGATCCCAGGACTTTGCAACAGTTAAAAATATGAGTCAGTTGCTAAGTGCCTGAATTTTGATCATGTGACCATAAGAATGTTGCAATGGTTATAAGTATGGAAAATGGCCATTAATCACTTTTTTCAGTGTTGTTGTAACTTCGAAGAGTCACTAAATGTACTATTATAAATCAAGGATAACCTGTATTTCCATAAGCATATACTTGCTTTGTTATTGCAAGCAATATGCAATTTAGTTGCATATTCATAGCCTCAATCTGTGTTTTCTAATGTTTCCTAAAGTAGTCCTAGGACACTTCAGGGTCTCCCAGGATCATCTCAAGCATCCTCAAAATAAAAATTATTTGCCTATGTGGAAAAATAATATAAGATCCCATCAAATAATCATGAGAAGTGGTAGCAGCACCAAATGCATATTTTTAATAAGGTAATATTGATAAACACAGGTAGTCCTCGACTTACAACAGTGACTGTTTAGTATTGTAGCAGCCCCATGATCATGTGATCAAAATTCAGATGCTTGGCATCTGGTTCATGCTTATGACCGTTGCCATGTCCCAAGGTCATATGATAACTTTTTGCATTCTTCTAATGAGCAAAATCAATGGGGAAGCCAGATTCATTTAACAATCATGGTACTAATTTATCAACTGCAATGATTCACATAACAACTGTGGCAAAAAATGTCCTAAAAAGGGGGGAAACTCACTTAATAAATGTCTCACTTAAGAACAGAAATTTTCAGCTCAATTGTGGTCGTACGTTGAGGACTAGCTGTATAGCCCATGCAAGAAAAGCTCTTTTGAGATCCTCCATAATATTTTAAAGTGAGAAGAGGGCTTGAGAGGAAAAAAAACTTTATTATTGACCTAGACAAGGAATGGAGAAATGTCAGCCCTTCAAGATAGACCAGACTTAGAAACCAAACCAAAGGCAGGATTTCAGCGTTTGACTGCTTTAAAACTCAACAAATATGGTACTCAGCACATTTGGATGTCAAAATTTTGTCTCTTTTGCACAAGCTAGAACTTGTTGATGTCAACTGCCCTGTGACTAATACACTATTCCTTATGGGAAACATTTGTTTGACACTCATCATTTTTGGTACTCATTGCACCTCTCAGAACCAATTAACAATGAGTACCAAGGTACCACTGTAATAACAGAATATTGTAAGTCTGAAACTTTTTCACCCTTAACTCTCTTTATGTTCATGAGAACTAGGGAGGATCTTTTGCTGAGATGTTCAGTTAGGTTGCAGACCTGGACCCAGATTTCTTTCATTTGACCATTCTGTTGTTTGCAGCTCCTCCTCCTTGTTCCCCAAGATTATTCCTGTTGCCCAGTACAAGAAATTCTGTTGCAGTAACAATTGTTCTTGAATGATTGAATAATTATTCTGTTATTTTGTTAAGTCTTTAAGAATGTGAAATGGCTGCTTTGTTCTCCCAAAAAAATGTGTCTCTTCCTCTATATTACACAGTTCCGTTAATGCATGTGAGATAGGCTTATGCCAACCTCTTGACTTTTGCTTTACTCATATACACTACATGGGATCTGTAAGCAACTTTACATCCTCTTTATGTGTTCACACTGCCATTCCCAAGTAGCCAACTGGAAATTTGGGAGTGCAAACAGCTCACTACTGCAACGTGCTCTACATGGGGCAGCCCTTGAAGAGCATTCGGAGACTTCAGCTTGTCCAGAATGCAGC